CAATGATGGAACACAGCAACGCCTGGAGCACGTCGCGTCCCTTCAACAGAAAAACGTTGGATGCCGGCAGTAATAGTTTTGACTAATCGTTGACGAAAACAGAAAATCAAACACCAAACAATGGAATTCCTATATTCTGGAACATTGCAGACTATTGCTGAGCCTATAGGCTCGGCATCCTAGGAAACTGACTCAGTACCGCTAGAAAAAAGGGGCCAAATAACACGTGTTCAAACGTGTAGAAAGCTTACGGGTTTGTGTCTCTTTTTTGTGTTCTTAGCGTGCAGAACTTTGATGAAATGTGTTGTGTGTGTGTGTTTGCAAAAATGTTTTTTTGCCATTTTTTCGCCAGTGTACGAAAGCCCATCACCACAGCATTGGCCACTCTTTTCCTGGCGATCTCTCCACGCCCTACTTTAAAACGTCCCTGCAACTACCCTGCAAGATATTTAGACTCTTTGCAAGGTGACGTAATGCTGGACCTCAAATTGCTGAACATTTAAAGCCCCAAAAGTTCATTAAAAGAATGCAAGAACGGCCCAAAATAGGAGTAATAGCCAGGCTAGTACAGGCGAGGTCGGTTTCCGAGCGACTTAGAGCAGCCACTTACGGCAGCAATTTAGTGCTTCAACTGAGTGACGGCGCTGGACCCAGACATTCACAAACTGCACTACCATAGCCAAAATGGCCTCTGTCAACCCAAGATTGTCCACTAGACTGTACGTGGCATCTGGCTCCCCCGGAAGCACCAGTCGCTCTGCAGGAAAGCCGGCATTCACTGGTAGAAAACGGTGTGTTTTTGATGCCAGCTGCGATGCCATTTCGACACAAAATGTTGCCGTCGCAGTGATTGCGATGGCACAAAAGTGGCTGTGGTGGCACCAATTTGTGTCAAATGGCATTGCAGTTGTCATCGCAAACAGGCTGTTTCCTGCTGGTGATTTGCAGCCAAGAAACTGGGTGAGGATAAAATGATTCTCTTCGTGGAACCTCGCCGGAAGCTATCCGAATTGAGGTTCCCCATGCAAATATCTGGCAAGTCACCTGATCCAGGAAAAAAAAGAAAAACGGTTTCCAAGAGAATGCAGAGCCACAGCTGCAACTCTGAAGCTTTGAACGAGAAAAGGTTGGATACCCACGGTAGGTTCACACACCGTGATTCCATCATGCCAGGAAAGTGCCATCTCGTTCAGTTCGCCAATTTTCTTTTTGCCACAAATCTGGAGCAGTAATGCCACACTGGGGCCACGTGATGCGGTGACTCTTCGGCTTGGCGCGGAGGCCACTCGCTGGGCCGGGCTTCAGCACAACCGCACAACCAGCAATGCGGTGGATCCATAGCGAGCCATCGCGAACACAGTGAACGGCACACTCGCTTCACACCAGCACTCCTGCCCTGGATTTGCTCGACCCAACGTGCCCATCGCATGTGTCACCATCAGTCACCCTGAGCCACAAGCACGAGACGGGGAGTCCCGTTCTACATCCTGGTGGCCCTCGTGCGTCACCGGGGCGCTGCGTGTTGACTATTCAACCCCTTCCTCCACCCCCTTTCCTCCTCCTGGGCTTCCAGCGGCCTTGGTCTGGGCCCAGCAGCGCTGTTACCGCGACCACCCTCCTCCCCCCTCCCTCAAGCGGCCTGCCCTTGCATGTGCCTCCTGATCCGTTCACAGCACACCTGCCGCACTATCCGGGGCCGCCTCTTGGCCTGTGGGCCATCACGGCAGGTGCAAACCCTTCTTGCCACCGTCGATGGCCCTATGGCGCTGCGTCCCAACGGTGAGGGCGCCCGGGCTTATCGATTGGGGCGCGTGTTTGCGTGCCCCGGTCGGCCGATGTGGCGGAAAGCGCGGCTGTGGGCAGCAGGTGCCGTCCTTCGCGGTGACGTGAGTGACCCGCTGAGTGGAGTGAGTGGGACCCAGGGGAGCGGGGCAATGCCGATCGGGCGGCCAGTTGGCTGTCTGGGGATGCTGCTGCGGTGGGCTCTTTGACACTGGCGGGGTGATTGTCTCAACCCCAGGCGGGGGCCGGTATCGGCATCAGTGGGTGTTCCGCTGCTGTCCGCGCGCTCTTGGCCACAACGGCAAGTCTCATGCTTGACCTGCAGGCGCTTCGCGTCCCCGAGGTTGGCGGCCCGGAGTATTTTCAGCGTCCTTGTCGCCATTGCGCGTTCCCCAGGTCGTCATGGGAGTCCGCATATCGATGTATGCATTTTCCCCGGCTGGACGGCGGACCCAAAGTGCACTTTCCCGTCAGCCGGATTGGGAAGAGATTGGCCGCTGGAGAAGATTCGACGCGAGGCGGCCCCGAGCGCTCTGTCTCGACGTCTCGCGCTCGTCACAGCGCCGCGACCACCGCGGCACCACACCCGGGGACCGTCACCACCCGCGTTGCATCATCAGCGCTCCGCGATTGACCCAAAGGCTTGGGCGGCGACGCGCTTCTCCATAGCCCCCCTCGAGAAGAGCACCTCCTCCGCGCCTCGCCTGTCCATGATCTCGCCAGGCCAACCTCGGCCCCAACCCTCCCCGTGTTTTGCCGCCGATGTCCATGGCATACGCTCACCAACCCCGCCAGCCGCACCGCATCGCATCGCATTGCATTGCATCGTATCGTATTGTATCATATTGTGTCATATTGTGTCATATTGTATTGTATTATATTGTATATTGCCGTAGATTTTTAAACCCTTCAGCATAGTAGCGCAGCACTTGGGCCTTTTTCTTGCGGAGGAAACAGTAAAATATAAGACCCTCATTGGACAAAATTTTGCGGAACAACGTACAAAAATTGAAAGTAAAACTCTGAAAAACAAAATGTGGAGCAAAAACGCATATCGCATTGTGTTGTATCGCATCGTATTGTACCGCAGTGTATTGTATTGCACTGCATTGCACAGTATTAAATCGTCTTGTCTTCATTGTATCTTATCGTACTGGGCCGGAGCCCCGTGAGTTCCGTGCCCATGGCGCTCTTGTGGGGTAGCCCAGCCCCTGGAGCGCCCACACTGGATTTCTAATCGTTTCGAGTTGCTGACTTTTGAGTTTAAAAATCAATTGTGCTGTGCACACTACACGGCAAGAAAGTGCTGGGGAGTATTGTTTCCCCAGAACCTGAGTTTACTCCCGCCTTTTAGCGTCAGACAGCTCTTGACGGTGCATCCAAAGAATGCCTACAATTTTAAGGTTTTCATTTTTGGATTTTCTGATTTTAATTTTTGATTCTGATTGTATCGTATCGCCTCATACCGTATCGCGCCGCGACCCCTCGAGCACCGGATATGCTCCCCCCCTTTTGACCCCCGGGCCTGGTCCCACGGTCCTGGCCCCCCTGGTCACGCCTCGCGCGCCCATGACCGGAGGCGAGGAGAAGGTGTACGACTTCCAGCGCGCCGGCGTGGCCCTCGGTACCTTCCTGAGGGCGCTGCAGTCGCGCCGCGCGGCCTTCCAGCGCCTGTCCTCGGGCCCTGCGGCTATCCGATCGGCCTCGCCGGCCAGTGGCCGTGCCCAGGGCGGCAGCGGCGCGTCCGGGCAGCAGAGCTCGCACGTCTCGCAGCAGCAGGCCGCCGAGGATGCCGGGAAGCGGGGCGGCAGCGGGGCGGAGACCGCGGACAAGGGGGGGGAGGGGAATGCTGGCAAGAGGAAGGGAAAATGCGGCTCTGGGGAGGACGCTCTGCGGAGGAAGAGGCGCAAGATCGAGGAGTTTGAGCGGGGGGAGGCGAGGAGGGCGGCGGCCCGGGCGGCCGAGGCGCGGGCGGCCAGGAGGGGGGCGCTGGAGGCGGCGCTGAGGGAGGCGGTGGCGGGGCGGGCGGACGCGCGGGGGCGGATCGAGGGCTTGCAGAGGCGGAAGGAGGAGGTGGAGGAGGCCAAGCACAGGCTGGTGCAGCAGCTGGGCTGGAGTAGAGAGCAGGAGCGTTCAGGAAGAACCACTCGAGGGTTCTGTAATGGAGTGGAGAGGAAGGGGAGGAGGCACTAATGTGGGGCAAGGGCTCAAGCACCTGGTCGTGGGTAGAGGGAGTTTCGGGTCGTCTGGGTGTGGAAAAGGGATCGAACGCACGCTTGGGAGGGCCCCGAAATGCTGCTGGGCCCCCCCGTTGAGGGGCGGCGCGACGATTCGCGGGTCCCTCGCACCGCGTCTGAGCAGCTGGCTGGTTGCTTTGCAGCACCTTTGCCAGGAGGAGCGGCTGAGGCAGGCGGCGAAGGCCGCGGAGGCTGCGCCCGTGGCTGCCCCCGCGGCTGCGCCATCCACATGGGCGCCAGCGCCCTCTCCGCTGCCTGCAACGGCACCCGGGCCTGCGCTGCCCCTGGGAGGCGCGACGGGCGATGCTGTGCACACATTGCCCCAGCCAAAGCCCCCCGAGCCGCCTGAGCAGCCTCTTGGGCCTGTGTACAATCCCGGACCGCCGCAGCGTCCGCCTCAAGGGCCAATAATGGACTATGGGGGGTTCCCGGACTTCGACAGGCCACCGCCGAGACCGTGGGAGACCGGCCAGGACGTGGGGGACGGGGGCCCCATGGGCAGGAGGTCTCGGCCTTGGTCCGGGCGGCACCCGCTGGGCCAGGGGCCGATGGGCCACCCAAAGCATGGGCGCTATCCAGTGATGGAGTTCCCTGGCCGGCCGAGGGGCAAGGGGCGCGGCCGCGCCAGACATGATGGCCTGCGGGGCCCCCCCAGGCCTGGGATGCCCAGGAACAGGGAGATGGGGCGCAAGGAGAAGGAGAGGAAGGAGCGGGACAAGTTTAGGGAGAGGGAGCGGGAGAGGGAGTGGGAGAGGGAAGAGAAGGAGGTGGGCAGGGGCCCCTGGCATGAGAGGGGACCCCCCAGGGAGGAGGGCTGGGTGAAGCCCCACCCCCTGTCCAAGCAGCCGTTCGGGGGACCGGGATCCGCAGGTGAGGCCAGCGCAGGGGCACAGTTTGGGTCGATCGGGGGCATGGTTGGAAGGGGAGCTTGGCTGTGTGTGGAGCCACTCCCTGTCAAGTGCATTTGATTGCCTGGTTGAGTCATGGTGGCTTTGCACCTGCAGCATTGTGATGGGAAAGTGTTGGCCGTGTGGCAAGTTGTGCTGCAGATTTTCCTGTAGCATGAAAGGAAGGCAACAGCAGTGAATGTGTTATGGATACTATCTTGTGGCTTGGGTGGAGCGAGCCACACAGCTGGACAGCAACAGTCCTGCTGGGTCCCTGCTGCACCTCGTTTTGCTTGTGGGCAAGGATGGTGCTATTGGCACTATACGTTTGGGCTTCCATTGCACATAAGGACGGCCTCACTGTGCGCCCTGCAGCTTTGTCTTGCCGCACTATTCCTCTGCGCAGTTCCCAGTGGAATTTTGAGGCACAGTCCCCCCCCCCCCAATCGACTTTGCCTGTGCACCATGCTATTGGAACACGCTTTATGCTCTTGGCTGCAATGCACAGATTCTGATCTGCCAGTTCATCTGCCAGCAGGTGGTCGGCTACCTCCGCACCTGCTGCCAGGCCCTGGTTCAGGTCCAGTGGGTGGGCTGCAGACGCAGCCTGTGAGCCATGTTGCAGAGGGCAGCCATCTGCCACCCCATCTGAAGGCGCCCACGGGCTTTGGCGGGCCTCCCAGCATTGGTATGCTGCCCCGGGAGGACCAACACAGTGGCCAATTTTTGCCTGACCGCCCATACAAGGACCAGCACATGAACGAGGCCGGATTCATGCCTCATGGGGGTCAGAATCCGAGGTCACAGAACCGATGGTAGCCCAAACAGCGGGCTGCTGCAGACTGGAGACACTTGTGGGCGCTGTGGACAACAATGTGGCAGTGTTTGTGACTAATGGTGCTGAGTGTTCCCGGGACAGTTGTGGACCCGATGTGCAAACTGGCATGCTGCAGAGCGGGTTCAAAATTGGGTAAGGGGTGGGTGGGTAGAGAGCTGGCAAAGGCCATTCAGAAAACCTGTTGCCACATGTACACTTGATCGAATGGTTAAAGGGCCAGTTTGAGGAACTATTATGTGTAATTGACCTGTACATACACTTTGCCTGTCACGCCTTGCCCAATTTATGTTTCCAGCATGCTGGTTGTGCACTTTCAGCAGGGAGATTTTTGTGGCCCTGGGTTGCGACAGCACTAGAGGACCATTATGGGCTTGCAAGCGCATACAGTGGGTGCGGCAGCCTGTCGCAGAAGCAATGGGCAACGGAGTTGGCATGCCAAGGATCATCAGCCGTGCCAGACGCACCCTGGCTGGATAGGGCCTGGTTAGTCCAGCGAGTTGGGTCCTCCCAGACATATTAACGCCCGTTGTCGGCATGGATTCTATGCCGCAGATACACTTTGAATTGCCGAACTCCAATCCTTCACAGCATCTTCGGGGCACTGCAGGGGCCAAGGCTGCTCCGCAACTTGTGCAGGTGGACACTGGCGGACCAAGCCGTTCAACTGCGGCCCGTGCCAACACGTCCCTGCCTGGCGCATCGACCAGCACCCAATCCCATCTCCCCTCCAATCCCTTCCGTCGAATAAAGAATGTCAAAAACCCTGCCCAGGGGTCCCCCCCACCCCACCCCCGCAGGCTCCACATCATCTGTTCGCAGCGTGGCCAAGAGTCTGGCACGCACTCGCTGAGGAGGGGGTGCCCTTCGCATATCCCGTTTGTCCTTCTCTGCAACAAAGCTCGCCCCCCGCCCCCGCCCACCCCTCACGTGTTCTTCTCCAGATTCACCAGCGCCGAGCCCAGGTAGTTTGTGGACACGTCGGGTGCGTGGGCCACCAGCTCGTACATCTGCAGCCCGTCCTCCGGCGTATACTCGTGCGCCAGTTCGAAGGTCCTGTTCCTGGCCAGGGGCTGGTGCAGGGCCCTCACGCACACGTCGGCGACGTCCGCCGCGCTGATGCCCTGCGTCAGCCGGTCGCCCTGGTCGAAGACCAGGGCCTTGTAGCCGCCGGGCTCGTCGCTGATGGGCGTGGGGCGCACGATGGTGTAGCCCAGGCCGCTGTTGCGGAGGGCGGCCTCGCCAGCGCGCTTGGCGCCGAGGATGGTCTGCTGGAGGGGGTGGTCGACGCCGGGGCGCTCGGCGCCCGCGCAGGACACCAGGATGAAGTCGGTGTCCTGGCCGCCTGGGGAGGGGGCGCACGGAAAGGCGAGATATGTTACAACAGAGAAAGAGAAACGGGTGATACAGAGGGCACGGAAAGGCATCAGGTGGGCAAGGTTTGCTATAGAGAGAGAAAGAAACAGGTGATCCACAGAACGCCCCCTCCCAAGCAAGTGTACGCAAGGCTCTTTTCCATGCTGTGAAAAGATCAAAAGGAGCATCCGGCGTCAGGTGGGTGCATGGGAGTGTGTGTTGTGTTTGGACCTGTGGGGAGATAGGCAGGAGAGGGAAGGCGCCACAGCACGTTCTGGTGCTCTAGCTCCTTGCGAGGGGATTCACAACGACGACACGCATTGGGACTGTGATGATATGTTTTGGAAGCAAGATGAGAACCACACATTTTTTTGGGGCGAAAATGCAACAACAGAGACAGATGCCAGAAGAGGAAAGCATGTTCTGTGGCCCTGTCTTGAAAATAAGCATTGCTTGATTGATATGCCAACAATCTTGATCGAATGATTGAACGAGAATGCCCATTCAAAGTCAGTGGCTTCCTTGGGCGAAAATGGAACTGACAGCCACCTCCTTGCCTTGGCAAGAGAATTTCCTGGGTAAATGCGGCCAAAGAATGCTGACGTCGTGCATTTTGCAACCCATTGCATACCCAATTCCAGACTGATGGAGGGAGTGATCGCATGATTGACTGATTGATTGATGTTCAAAAGGCAACAAGTGGCATATCAGTTGGGGTAACAATCGCAGGCGCTTTTCGTTAGGTTAACTGGGTTGTCAAGTGCACAACCGCACCTACAATTCCAAACCAGATCGTCACCCTCCAATTTGCAAAACTTTGCAAAACTGCAATACCTGATTTCTGGCTTGCTTGATCCATTGATACAGTGCTGGTTAGAAAACAAATGTAGATGAGTGGATTTCAACAAAGAATATGGTGGTGAGATATTCAGCGTCAGTCTGGCAGTCGTCTGCAAGGACCTCCCCATGCTGGTCAAAGAAGAAGCAAAAGAAATAAGAACGAGAAAGCTTATTGAATTGAGAACGAACAGGCTGCTTCTACCCATCTCAGAAGACCCCTGCACCACGCATATGGGGCCAATGGCAGCAGCTTAAGCATCTCAGCAAGCAGTTAAGACTTCTCCTTGACCTAGCAAAAGGTATGGAAGAATCAATCCATACATACGAACACACCTGTAGCCCCTTTGATCCAGTCCACCTCCAGCCCAAAAGTCCCCGTAATCTCGCGCTCGCCACTGGACAAGTCCGCAGCTGACACAGATGCTGCTGATCTGCCTTTGTTCTCATACCTCAAACTCAAGTGGGTGGTAAGGGCAATGTCCAGTGGTGGAGCCCCACTGGTCTCAGGCATGAAAGTGTTGCAAGGCAATCGCACTGTGCTGTAGCCTCGGCGCGTGGGGAACCGACTGATGTATCTCGAGCTGGGCGAACCTACAGTTCAGACACAAGGTGGTGAGGTATATGATGTCCTGGTGGCATTCACATCAAGTTATAGTGACATGCTCACAAAAACATCACATGCATTCAGCAAATGTAGCAGCCACCCAATGCAACTTTCCAAGGGGTGCAACTTGAAGGATTCTGGGGCTAGGTTTGGATACTGAACCAGCGCACTGCTGCACAGGACAAGTCGCCTTATGCAATGAAACTCTGTCTGCAAGAAGACTTTGCACGATAGGTGCAAGAGCACCACCTTTGCACCTCACGCACCTGCTGAAATGATCATCGAGTATGGGTTACCATCACCCTTCACTCGCAGCACCAACGCCTCACAGTTGTCAAGTGCACTATCAGCCACATTGACAGGGGCCCCTACCTCAGCAACACCCCCTACAGTGCCAACCTGACCTGGAACACCGCACAGCCATCGTCACTGAAACGTGGCATGCAGCACATCGGGGGAACCAACCTAAGCCTGTGACAAGTGCCGCCACTGGCCTTTGTGCAAGGGCAGTGCTCTGCCCGTTTGGGCGAGCGCGAGAAGCAGAGGCGCACTCCACGACAAACTAAGAGTTCTGCTGGCAGCTACAACAGAGCCAAATACCCTATTCATGAAGCCTCGTTGGCGCCCAATAACAGCCTGCATGACATGGTGGTGCCCCAAGACGTTGTTTGTTTTCAGTGAGATACTTTCAACCCAGACGAACTCATGTTTTTGAAACAAAATGACTTGGACTGATTCCCCTTGCAACGTCAATATCACACAATCCTCAAGGACACCGATGTCACCGAATCCTCCAGGACATATGCCATTTAGGGCATTGATTTATGCTTTTGTTGTTGTAGTGGAGAACCCAAACTGCCCTTGATTTCACAGGGAGATGGTTACCTTAGAGGTGTAATTGTGTTGCTGTACAGGACAAACTCGCCTCAAGTTTGACAAATAAGCTGCCACGTGACAAATAGCACATGGACAAGTTGATAAGAACATCTCTATTAGCGAGTGCTACTGCACTGGGGATACTATTCGATCATCTGAATAGCACTGCATGTCGAAAAAACAGTTTAGCGGTGAGGGAGCAGTAGCACCACAATGTTATTCGCCCCTGAGCTGTGCTGTTTCAGCCCTAAAAAGCACCGCTCGAAATCAAACAGCACCCCAGAATACACCCAGTGCTATTTCCAAAGAACATTGCAGCTGTGCCCTGACGCTGTTCGGCACAGCAGCAGGACCCAACGTTCCGGATGCGTGCAGAGGGGCAATAGCACCGTTGCTATTCGGCAACTGCCATGGTAGTCAGGTGGCTAGGCAGCCAACGAGATCCGTTCTCGTGTAGCACCGCCGGTGCAATAGCACTGATCAATAAACAAACTCTAAAAAACTCTAAATAGATAAATAGACAAGCTGCCACATGCCCTGCTGGACTCCACAAGCAGCCAAGATCAAAAAGAACAAACCTTCAAACAGAAGGTTTCCTTCATCTGTCTGCTGAAGTGTGGCAGTGTCCGACCTCCACCTCCACTGCCGGGCACCATCGAACTCGGACAGCTTCATGCCTTTGGCAATCTGTGACCTGTCCTTTGGGTTGCCAACCAGTTCAACCTGCCATGCGTTGCAGGTGTCAGAGAATTTGAAGTTGGCGACCTGCCTCTTGGACGAGCGTCCATACGCCCCACGCTCTTTGGCCTTCTTCCACCGACAATCCTGTGGCAGCACATGTGGTATCATGCATTAGTCTGCCACATTGAACTGATACAGGGTCGGATCAAGCAATGACAAAGTTAAGAGAGGTTGCCATGCAGGACTTTTCACATAAGCAAATATGTCACACAAAACGAAACAGTAAATGCGACACAAAGCACTTTCCATGCTGTGAAAGTTGATGTAGACAGCTCTGAGTGTGGCAGGAAGGCACCAAATGGAGACAAGGGTGGCTCATCCAAAGTTTTACAGCCATTGTTTGTAGATCAGCACACACAGACCAACATACTCTCTGCACCACAAGACATCCTTCTGGATGTGCAGGGAATTGCTGTGTGCCAGATTTATATGTTAAATGAGAATTGACTTGGCCACACAAGAAGTGGCTTTTCTCACCAGGAAGGCTCTGCAAAGTGTTGCGACACCTTCGGACTCCACCCTCCTGATGTCTGCTGTGATAAACGATCGAGCTCCAGCAGCATAGATGATCTGTGGTACACAAGTGTTACTGGCGTTAGAATGTTCTGGCCCTTGTGCATCATCCATTGATCCATCAAGGTGACTGTTCACAACAATCTGGACACCACATTCATTCATAACTGCAACACAGCACGAAGCCAGATTTGTACCTGGAAGGGGTGCAAGATGCTAACAAAGGTGGGATAGGCAATCAGGTGCAGTTTTGGCTGTAGGCCAAAGTGTAGCTGGATAAGGATGAAACACTGGGAACCTCATCCCAAAGGCACCTTGTGCACTGCGAATTCCTGACTTTGTCAATCTTGCATGCGAGCGGGGATCTATGGGCTGCTCCTGTTATCAGAATCACTGGGCCCTCCAGCACTCACCAAGCCACAGATACTCCCCACCATGACCCGATATCACCATGCTGGCGTTTATGCTGTATTTTTGTTTCTTTGTGACAATGCAATCAAAGGACCTAACACTTTTCCCACATTAGATTCTAGTCACAATAGATCAATAGATCCTGGTGAGCTGAATCGAACAAATGGTTGCATGATTGAATGCCATGGATCAAATAGCCCTGCATGTAGTTTCTTGTGAATGGGCCCAGACATAAGAATTGCAATGGGACACGTGCTGATGACGTAAAGGATTACAACACTCTCTACACGTCCGCTGTGCAAACAAGGAGATGCAGGCACCGCCAACACATGCGAACTAAGCAGCAAATGCTAATAAATGTATGCCTGACAACAACAAACGCTCTTGAATAACAACCTTAACAAATCGCTGACAACCAATGAGGAACAGTGGTGGATGCCAAACCGCCCGTCGCTGTTGGGCACGTCTGACGCACACGCTCTTCCCTCAGCTTCGCGCTCCGCACAACGACATTGCTATTTCTCTTTCTCAGTTTCTTTCGTCCACTGCCCCGCCTTCTTGCGCCGCTTCGCGCCCCTCCGCACGGCCGTAAGAACCCATTTTCAACACCGATCCAACCCGCTGCCTCCCCTCGCGGTGATTCCGCGCCAGTTCCCCCGGGTACCCACCACCCACCTTGTCCACGCCCTGCACCGCCTCCAGACACTTCCCGTAGTCGCACACGTCGCCCTCCACCACGCCCACAGCCGGCGGCATCTCGGACGCCGTGCCGTCGCCGCCGCGCACCAGCGCCCTCACGTCGTAGCCCCGCAGCAGCAGCTTGCGCAGGATGATCTTCCCCACGCGCCCCGTGGCGCCCACCACCAGCACCGTCGTGATGGCCGCCAGCGGCGCGCCCAAGTCCATCGATGTCCCCGCCAGCAGGGAGGGGTCGTCGTCGGAGGAGAACGACCGCGTGGGCTGAGCCACGCGCACGAACTGCTGCCAGACGTCGTCGAAGGCCTGCCGGGATCGGCGCCCGAGCTTGTAGGGGTCGACCAGCTCATCAAGCCCCAGCTGTTTGGCGTCCTCTGGGGGCTCTTGCTTCTTTTTGCGGCCAGATTCCCCACCTTTTGATCCCTTGCGTGCGGAGGGCGGCGCGGGGCCCCGGGCGGGTCGATTGGGACGGTGGAGATCTACGCCCGGGCGGCGATGCATCTGGCCGGGGATGCCAGGAGGATGGCGCCCGCGCAGGCTTTCCCAAGAAGCCATGATCGCGCGGCCGGAGCTTGGCCGGGTGCGCCCTGTGGAAAGGCAGGACGCGCTTTGGTCGCTGGCGGTTGGGGAGGGGCGGGGCCAGGCCCAGGGGAGCGCCGCGACCGCCACGTGGCTTTTGGTCGCGCCAGGGGTAGACGCGAGCAAGCGGCGGACAACGGGTGCTGGTGGTTCTACGTGGGCGGTTGAGTGCACGGGCTGGCCGGGGGGTGGGCACTTGGTGGGCACGTGGCCATGCGCTCATTGACACGTGTGCCAAAATATCGTATGCGGAATTGCTGATTGCGTGCCCCGTCTGTGGAGGCTATCATCATCATCATCATCATCATGATTTTTTGCTGTTCGGGTCGCCAATTAATGGGGCTCATCAAAAAGTTAGTAAGATAATGATATCACGTAGCTGGCGACCCGTGAGTTCCAGATATGGTGCAGAGGGGATGTCGACAGCCTCAACACCTTCGCCATACTGAAAATCATCCAGTAGTTTGGCGCTCAATGAGGCAGAAACCCCGAAACATCAATCAGGGATGCTCTATACATACCCCAAATACGCCCTGGAGTACTGAGGAACAC